TTTCATTTTGTATTTTACACAAAAAAAACCAATGTTTTGTATACAAAATAGACTAAAATCTTGTTATGTACATGTTGTAATGATAATTATTACATAATAAATCATATTTAATTTTTTATTATTATAATGAGATGGTCTAATATATTAACTTTTTATAATTTTATTTTGGTAAAGAGATGAAATTATATAAAAAAAATATACTATATAGGAATATGTTTTTTTAAATTACTACATTATCTACTTTTATTAGTTTTAATTAAAATTATGAATATTTAAAAATTCTGTTGAACCGGTCCGACCAGCCAACCAATGACGATGTCAAGTAGGCGTCCGATTCGGTTTTCAAAACATTGCTTACAGTTACAGATAATGTTGCTTGGATACCTAGATCAACGATACCTGCCCCTAGTTCCCGTAATGGTCAATAAATTTCCCAATCGTGACCAAGTAGATGAATAATAACAAAACAAGTCATTTTCTTTGGAATCTTAAAATACTTCAAAATAGTATTTTCAAAATTATTTGATTATTAAATATATGTGTAAGTACAAAGGTTTTAATTTTATTGATTTTAACATTTTTGAAAGAAAACCAAGTGGTAGTGGACTAGTGGTTTCCACTTGAGGATGAAATTACTCTGCTGGTCTAGGTTAGAGTTCAATTCCCTTCAAGCGCGAAATTATCTAACCATTCCCATTTGGTCAGTCGATTACCATACTTTCGGCCCATTATAAAACTTGATGAAATAGCTATTTGACGGCTACACTCGTATAGGGGGAGAGTAAAAAAAAAATCGTTTTTGAAAGGAAAGTTTTTTCCCCGACGGAAGGGAAAAAAAAAATCACGTAAAAGAAATTATTGTTTACTGTACTAATTATTGGCTAGTTAATATGATACTCGACGTGAAGTAGCCAGTATATTGCTTGGGTCCTACGATTTGCTTTACGTGGCAGAGACTAATTGGCGGCGTGTTAAACACGGAAAGTGGGCCCACGTGATGCACTTCTTCAGATTCCAATATTTTAAGAGGATATATTTTTTTTTTTGATAACAAACAAAATGGAATCAAAATTGAGATTAATCATCGAAATATGTTTAATTATCCTGATATTTATATGTATCCACGGTAGTTCTGGTTTCTCAGTTTCCAGAATGGATCTTCACACATTACTAAATTAGATTACTGTTTAGAAAAAGAAAATAAAATCGTCAGCAAATCCAACCACTAAGAAATAAGTTTCTTACATACACCACAATTCGATAAAGCCATTGTTTAACGCGATAAATAATAATATAGAATCTTAAGATCATAGGTTGCATATATGCCGAAATATGAATTTGTCTGATCAATTAAATGTTGGGGCAATTACAAAAATGTCATTTTTTGTATGTACATTTACAAAAATGCCATTTAGGGGTGTCTATTTACAAAAATGCCACTAATTATAGATTTATAAAGCCTATATCTTAAAATTCTAAACCCTAAAAAATGTTTTGACACCTAAACTCTCGTAAACACTCAAAACTAAACCTTAATAGAACATAATTAACCCAAACATAAATAATATAAAGAAAATATAGTTTTAAAAAAGTGGTATTTTTGTAAAAATTTCAAAATATGGCATTTTTGTAAAGTGGCACTTAAAAAGTGACATTTTTTTAAATTTCTCTTAAATGTTCATATAGAAAACCATAATACATGGAAAAAACCACATGTTTTGCAATATTTAAATGACATAAATAAATTCATATAACTTCATCTAATTAATTAAATTAGTACGTAGAAAAATAGGAAAAATTCCTAAAAAATACCCGAATTTAATTTAATTTGCTTAAAAAATACACGAACTATTTTGGCTACCCGAATAATGCATGAAGTATTTACAGTTGTCTTCTATATACTCAGACTTTCAAATTTTGTAGGTTTTACACCTTTGATTATAACGGCGTTAACCCGTTAACAGAAGATGATAAATTGTGTTAACTTTATAACAAAAAAATTTCCATAAAAATACTCGAACTTAGTTTAATTTGCTTAAACAATACACAAACTTTTTGGCTACCTGAATAATACACCAACTATTTAAATTTGTCTTTTATATATTCTAACCTTTTTGTTCTCAAAATCGAGAATACGATAATGTTAGTTTAACTTACAGAACTGAAATGTTTAGAGAATGAATATGATATCAAAAGGCACTAGGTCAAAGTGGTAGATAACTTTTCTAATACGAGCTAGCCAAGTTTTCATTCAGGTTCTATATTCATATCATTTTTTGAA